AAAAGTGTTCGGAACGAACTTCCTAGCGAGCTGTCACGAATCAAAAACACCCAACGCTGAGCTAAACCCGCAGTGCACACTGAAACTTCGTGAAGCCTCAAGAATATCTTACAGCTCAGGGTTTAGTCTCATGCAATCAACAGAATGAATGTGTAGCAAGTCAACCACATATAATTCCAATAGACTTATAGTTACAAGTCTCGGCAAAAGCCAAGACCCCAACCTAAACCCTAAATCCTAAACCCCAAACCCCATACCCTATAACCCATAATACCCAAAGCAATAACCGTCTCTTGAAAATCCTAAACCCTAAACCCTAATACCCCTAATACCCAAAGCAATAACCGTCTCTTGAGTCTAGGCCCTCGAACAACACACAGGCCAGACCTGGAAAGCCTGCAGCTGCAACCACCCCAAACCCCGTGCACCCACTAATGAAAGCTATCGCTTTCAGGGTTGAATATGGGTAGTTCTCTAAATTAGGGTACCTTTTTAGGGTCCTTCTATAAGGGTGTCGTACTATATTCGGGACCCAAAAGGGGCCCTAATTTACAGAACTACCCTTATAGGTTTTACGGCTGAGGGTTTTAAAACAGGGTTCAGGATATAATACAACACCACTCGAAGACCAAGGTGGTTACTGCAAGGTTAACACAACCAAAACCCAGGCGCAACAAGTCCCAAACTATCGGATCAGAGCAGCGTGTAGCCTCAAAACCCATCTTCTTGAAGGCGCTATTTTGACACACGCATAACAAAGGAAGCCCCACAGATACGACGCTTGCATTGGAGACGGGAGACGGGAGGAGCACAGGAAAAACAGGCGAATTCCTAGGCCCCCGGACATCTGCCGGCAAGTTGGACCAGGCTCCCGAGCCTCCGGAATGCGGCTTCCGGGAGTTTGGGGTTTCGAGTTGGAGTCTCTGAGGTTTCAGAGGGTTTAGGGTTTAGGGTTTAGGGTGAGATTAGGGCTGCTGGCGGTAAACTGGCTTATGATGGGTTGTAAAGGGTTGATATGGTTTAGGGCTAAGAGGGCTGAAAGTGCTTAGTGGTTGCATACATTTTACAGGGTTTAGGGCGCAGGGGCTTAGGGTTTTCGCTTACCCGAAAACCTCGATCCAGAAGCTAGATCCCCTGATTTGGCGCCCTATACTTCTGAAGGGTAGTATATGGGTAGTTCTCTAAATTAGGGTCCCTTCTGGGTCCTCTTTATAAGGGCGCCGTACTATATTGGGACCAAAAAAGGGACCCTAATTTAGAGAACTACCCATATGCGAAACCCCATGAAGGGATTGGCTTTCTGTATCCTCCCACAGCGTGGCTAAGGGCTCCTGGTCGTCCCTTCAACAAGGGACCGTCTAAGTGTTCTAGATGGGTTTCGGCGCTCACACTCGGATGGGTTTAGGGGTTCGGGTGTTCTATACGGGGTTCAGGGTGTTCTATGTGGGTTTTGGATCTTGGGTGTCTAATATGGGCTTGGGGTTCAGAGTGTCTTCTATGTGGGTTTTACATGGTGCTAACTTTTGGGTTATATGCATGTCGATAGGATCTAGGTGCCCTGGCTTCTGGGCCCAGGGAACTTTGCGTGTCGGAGCCCTAAACCCTAAACCCGTTTTTTTCCGCAGGTCTGGAAGCATCAACCCTAAACCCTAAACTCAAATCTGTTAACACCTACTCCTTTAGGGGTCCTTGTTATGTTTCTTGTTTTAATACATGTCCTTGAACAAGGTAGGTCAGCCAAGTCAGCCCCAGCTCGAAAGCACAACTAGTCGTCCAAAAGCCGGGAAATCCCAAGGCCGCGGCGACTCATGCCGACCAGGATGCGCTGAACCATCTCGTCTAGACCTGGGGCATATGCACTCCTTGAATTATGTGAGGAACTACTACTCTAAAGCCTGAATCAGCCTGAACCCAATCTACTATTCCTGGTCATGAATCGTGGGATTTACGCAAAGACAGGGCAGCCTCCTTGAGATGTTGGCCCTGCTGTTGAGGTGGCCTCTGCCCTGTTTCGAAGCCTCGCAGGAATTTAGGCTTACGGTTCAGGGTGGGGCCCACGCTCGCAAGGCGAGGTCATTGGTGCGTGGTCGGTTGTGCTGAAACACTTCCAAGAGTGTTCCGACTATTAGTAAATCAGCAGGGTTTAGGTTTACGCCTTAGGATCAGGTTGTCCTCACGCCTTGTTCTGGGTGAATGTATGGGCCGAGACGGCTCGGGAGATAACTGTCCAACTGTCCAAGAAGGACATTGGCATCATCACAAACCGATGACCGGGCTCACCCTGTAACCCTGAACTCAACTCTTAACTGGGCTTTGAAGTAACCAGGGAGAAAAAAGTATAGACTTTTATTTCATAGTGGTTCCTTTAAGGAACAGGTCCACAAAAAAAGTATTCAAGTATGGTACTCCAAAACCCAGTTAATCAACCGGACCCCAAGACCCCACAATTCAGAACCCTGATCCACTAAACAAAGCCCAAGCGGTAGCTCTAAGCTCCCGGCGCAGCTCAGGCACAGCATTCTCGAGCTTCGGCCTTGGTCATGCCAGCGCATGTTCAAATTAAACGGCTTTTTCGTTAACACCTCCTACCACGTGGGGCTTCTAGGGTTCTGGTTTGAAGGTTTGGACTTTTGTGGTGTTCAGGGCATAAAACGCCTTGCAAACAAGCCCTCAAGTGCTAAGTGAAAACACTGTTGGACAGTTCCCCAAGTCTCAAGTTACAAGGCATAGTATCTCTTCGACGAGTACCCTTAAAACAAAACTTATAGAGCCTTCGTAGTACCGTTATAGGTTGTGCAACGTAAAGGAAAGAGGCCAAGGCCCTGAGTTGGCGGTCGTTTTGGAGCACCCAAGCAGCCGCAGCTTCGTCGGAGTTCTCTTGCGGAGGGAGAGCTCCCTCTGGTGATTTCCGGTAGGCTCTCTTGCTTTGGGCTTGTGAGCTTTATGAGGCTCCAGGTTTAGAGGGGTCGTATCTCCCCGTGTTGACTAGGAGCCCGTGAGTCCTCAAGCGTACTAAGCACGGCATATGCTTCCCTTGCGCATGTGAGGGAAGCGAGTCTGACTTTCCTATAGACATGAAATCAGTTTAGGCTTGACTGTTGCGGCGTTTCTTGCACTTGTTGATCTTACTTTGTTGTGCATGTGCCACACCTCATATCGATCCTGCAGGCGAGTCCCATAAAACAATCTCGTGGCTATTTTAGCTCCCTAAACCCTAAACCCTAAACCCTAAACCCCTAAACTATGAGCCCCAGCCTCCCAAAGTTGACATCTTCCCGGGCCACCCGGAAAAACTCTTCTTTTTTAAGGGGCTGAGGACCCTAGGCCAGAAGAAAAGGAGGCTTTTGAATGTTAGTAGGGTTCCGAAGTTGAAATATGATCTTGTAGGCAGATGAGAGGGATCCTTCGTATGGGAACCCCTACATCGATGCCGGAGATCCCACATTTTAATGCCAGAGATGCTACGCCTTCAGGCCCTGAGAAGCACCCGTTCCAAGCGTTGCGAGCCAGAAATCTTCGAGGTGATCCCGAGAATCGTCAGTCGGGGCCGCTGTGCCAGCGAGGCGGCAACCCTACTACAGCCTAACGGCTTAGGATGAGGGCTTATCGGGTTAAGGTGTCTAGGATACTTGTCTTGAAAACCCCCAGCCTTACATGTCAAGTCCAAAGCTCATAGTCTTTGAGTAAAATTGCGAGGTCCTAGAAGCCCTGGACTTGACAATGCATTGTAAGCCGCAGCTGTCCAGGAGCGTCGGTTCTTTAATGTTCCACTTTGGGCTCATCGCGGGTTTAGGGCCTGCGCAGTAAAGTGGTCAAGGGTTTAGGGTATTAGGGCTTAGGGTTCAGGGATGTAAACGGTTTTAACAGCCAAGCAAGAAATCGAAACAGAACTGCCGGACACTCAAGAACGTCTACATTGTGGACAGCGACTGCCTGGAGAGTTTACTGCAAACGAACTCCGCGAGCCCCAAGCCTATTTATTGCACCTCGCTGCCGCTGTTGCGTTTAGCTTCTTGCTTACGACAGATGCAGAACCGAAACTACACAAAGTCCCTCCAAGAGACGAATACTCCAAAAGGAGCTCCACAACGACAGGAGTACAGGTTGGGCAAATTGGCATCAAACTCTCAGCATCGCAAAGGGACGTGTGCGAAGACCGTTAACCTCAGCGCTTACTGCATCGATCGCCACATGCCGGCACAGGCCACACTAATGCCACACGCCCAGCGCTTGCATGCACAGGTGCTGGCTGGAGTCGACTTGCTTCTACGCACAGGGTCGTCTCTTGATCTGCTTGGGGCTTGTGGAATCAGGTATCTGATTCGAGGTTAGGGCTTGGGCTTCGTAGTCTTAGTGTTGGGGACCGCTACATCCAAATGACTGCTCTTACCCTGAATCAGCTTTTCTCTTCCCCAAATTCTCTACACTAATCATCAACAAGTCACTAATGGCTGTTTTCTTACACGGCATACCTTGGTTTATAAGCGCGCAAGGTTCAGAATCGATACTTAAGTCCCTAGCCGATTAGAGTTCGGGTGGAGCAGTTTGGTCCTGCGCCCTTGTCTGCCTCAGTCCATGTCTGGGTCGCAAACACACTGCGAAAAAGAACACGGCCGAAGGGCTGAGAAGAAGAACTCCCCCCCTAGCGGCCCTAGCGAACACGGATTCGGGTTGGAGTCTGAGAATCCCTAAACCTATACGGAGTACGTAAGGGCTGAGTACCCCTTTTGAATTATAGTCAGTAGGATTATCTAACCCCAATAGGTTAAGCGTTGCCTACTCAGCACCTAAGAATAAGACATGAAAGCTGGGGAGGTTTAGGACCTTTAGGAGGCAGCGTCGGCTACCAGCATCAAGCTCTTTGTGTGCCAAAGGCAAGCGCTTTGCTGGCCTTCTTTGACCCTGCAGAAAGATCCGAACTGGCGAGGGCTTAGGGGTTTAGGGGTGTAGGGGTTTAGGGCTGAAGGTACAGGTTTTCAGGAGAACCTTCCGTGCAAGGACTAATAGAAAATCGTCTCGCAGAGGGCATCGTGCTTGACGTCGGGACCTCGGATGTGGCAGTGTAAACTGAAGTTGGTACCACCAACATGTGCGGGGAGTTCTCTAAACTGGGGTCCCTTGTAGGGTCCTTCTTATACCGGTGCCATACTATATTGCCCTAACTTCCCGGGTACCTACTATGATACTATATTAGGGCCCTAGGGGCTCTAGTACCTTTCTCTAGTACCTTTAGGGATGGGGACCCAAAAAAGAGACCCTCATTTAGAGAATTACCCACGTGTAATGATTGGAATGCATACGCTCTCGGCCCGAATCCGGTGTAGCCTCTTGGATCGCCCGGCGCGAGGCAACAGAAGATCCCCTAACCCTCCAGGTACCTACTATATGGGGCCTTAGGCGCTCTAGTACCCTATATAGTATGGTACCTGGGGGGTCAGGGATCACTATCCACAGACAGTTTTTTGCATGATGATGACCTAAACCATGGCTTACATACGAGGCACAGCGTATGCGCATTTGATTGATGATCCGGTTTGAATCTCCCCTATTTTTTGCTTCGGGACTCCATGGATTTGCCTTATAAGCCAATTGATTTTTCTCACACTGGCGTTTGAGGTTTGGGATTTAGGCTTCATGCATGGCTTGGCTATCTTTTTTTGTGCTCAAGGGTCCTCCTGCTCGAAAAGATCACCTCGAAGACTGCAGTTGCAAGTTACAGCTATAGGGGCCCCGTGCGCCCTTCGTCCAGTCCTGAAGCCCCTATCAGAAGCGGTACCCCTAGTCTCGATAGCTTTTGGATCTAATGTCTGCCGTTCTTGGCTCAAGGGCTTGGGGCTCCACTTTCCCGCCAGGCCACGGTGGTCGCAATTCAAGTAGCTACCATCCTCCTTGTCCATACAGAGATAGTCGCCTGTTGCATTGAGTAGCTGCAGCTAAGCGTTCGTGGTCAGGCTGGGAACTTGAGCACAAGGTTGTGCAACATTTCGGTCTGGGTCACAGGAAGAAAACCCACGAAAGGCCGCATAAGACTGGCCGGGGTTGCAAGCGCAAAAAAAAACAGTCCACTGTTCAACACAGCTTTTGCTAAAACTCAACTTTGAGCGCTCAGTCAGACACTTAACACTCAGCAAAACACATCTGGGCAGCGGCCTGCTTTGCCGGTGATGCCACCAGTGCCTTCGACCACGGATCCATCAGCCCACTTCCAGGCGTCCTGGGAGTGGAAACATCCGAAACCTTACACATCGAATCTCGTGTAAACAACTCTGAAATAGCAAAGCCGTAGCCTTAACAGTGCACGCGAAACTTGGGAGTTTAAGCTGTCTGTTCGGGATGAAGAGACCTAACAGACAAGCCCTAAAGAAGAAATATCTTCTATTGGCAACGTGCCTCAGGCTGAGGTCTAGATCCCCGACGAGCTTCTGAAGTTAGTTGTGGGATTGGGGACTCGTGTCGTTTTGGGTTTTGAACCCTTCCGAGGATTTCTTGTCTGCAGGCCTGGTGAAGGGTTTAAAGGCACCAGGTGACTTGGAAACCGTGCCATTAAATCTCAACAACGAGACCTCGAGGATCAAACATCCAAGCTCCCTCACCGCTGCCCAGCTTCTCTTCTTCCCCGTCTCGCACACTTGCCCGAATGGCAAGCAGCTTTCGGTTACGTGAGAAACTGTTCACCCAGCAAGTAAATCTAAATCTAAAGCCACAAATTCTCAACCTTAAACTTAACCCGCCTCGAATACATCGCCTCAAGCTGTAAAGCCCAAAAACACAAGTACCCCCAAACGCCCCCTCTGGGACCTTAACAGAAGGAGCCACGGGTGGAGACCCCTCCCAAGAAGCCACAAGTTGGGTCAAAGAGGCATCCTTGTAGTTCGCACCTCATGTCAGCTGTGAGTGGCCCGTGCACACGAACATCTGGGGGCTGAATAACGAGAATAGGGTTCGGGGGTATGTAGAATTGCCAGATTCTGGAGCCTAGGCATATGTGGACTCTAAGGGGCGACCACTGCAAGCAAGGGCTTTTTCTCAGACCTCTGGGCCAGATCAAGGCGCCAAACTCCACAAGACAAGAGGGCCGATCACAAAACGAGGAGTGCTGCCTTTAAGTTAGGGGATCCCTAGAAGTACCTTATTTAGAGGTTCTTTTTTATTGGGCTCCCTGAGTATGTTGAACTCAGACACCCGCAGCGCAGAAGCTCTTGCAGGACTTGAAGCCCAAAGGCCTAACAGACTCCTTCGAAACACACCGGAACCCTAAGGAAGCCTAAGCCCTCACCCCACCCCAAAAACCCAAAAAAAACCCAAATCAGAAGCCATCAACTCCAACAACTCTTAAGCACAGTCTTCCATAACGAGCCAAAAAACAAAACACCCTGAACCCTAAACCCTCTCTTCTGAGACTTGGACCAAGCCAAGCCTTCTCTGCCGAGCAAAACTTCCTAGGAGCCACGAGAGTTGAAGAGTCGAGACTGGTTTAAGAGTTCAGAGCACTCAAGGGTTTAGGGTCCGTTTTACACAGGCTTGATTAGAGCACGCCCGGCCAGGTTCCCGCAGCAAATCGCACCCGTGGCGAGATGCGCAAGGCTAAGTACCCACAATCCTCATTATCTTGCGAGCTCATCTGTCGGGTTTAGCGTCCCTAAACATTAAACCCTCTAAACCCAAAGCTTCCTCGGGAGCCACGAATAGAATTCAGAGCTTGAAGAAATCAAGGGCAATAAGGGCCCTCTGAACCACACAGCCCCTACAGGGGTTTGCGGGGGGGCTTCCGGCTCATGGGATTCCCGGACCCCGAAACCCCAGCTCCAAACCCTATAGACTGTACTCCCCCAAACCTAAACACCTTAGAGCTTAAGGCTGGGAGGATTTAAACCTAAACTCTTATCAAGCCCTAAAGCCGTCGAAGTAACAGGTGTCGGACTCCTGCACTTTTGAGGTGGGGTTGGGGGGCCCGCAGCTCCAGAAGCTCTCATCCCTCAAATCCCTAAGGCCTACAACGCTCCAATATATATACCCTGAACCCTATAATGCCCTCATAAAAAAGCAGAACCCTAAGCGCTATCGAAGCCACAAGCACAACCCTAATGAACCCTCCAAGCTGCAACGCCCGTTTTGTACAGGTTACAGGACAGAAGGTCATGAAAGCCCTAGGTGCCGGTAGCCTCCAACTCTAGCCCCATGCCCTGAGAAATCCCGTATAGCTTCCTGAATCTGTAACTGCTGGCAAGGAAAACATAAGCCCTAAATCGTAACATGCACTGGCAAGACGCTTCTGAAGGATCGAGAGCCGCGTCTTGTCGCCGTCCGACTTGGGCATGGCGAGCTGCTGGTTTTGACAAGCGGCCTCATGGAAGGGCCTATAGTGGGGTTCATCGATGAGGGTTCTATTGTTGTTGTTGGCCTTTACACCCGCAATTTCGGGGTGGCTCAGTGATTAGTGGGGTTCTGGAGAATGTGACACTGTCTTTTGCACTGGAAACTGTAAGAACATGATGTTATTAGTAAGAAGTCCGACCTCTGCATTAAACCGAAAACCCTGCTAGATCCCTTTCCGAAGCCTTCGGGAAGCCATAATAGGGAGATGCAGTTTGTAGCGTATTCCGCCTTCATTTATGAGTACATCCCACACCCGAGATCCGCGTCCTGTGTCTCGTTGTGGAGCGCAAGCGGTCCGATGAGGTAGCGGCGGTCTTGGAGGGCTTTGGGCTTAGGGTGTAAGGGTTTGGGGTTGAGAGGGGAGCGCGAAGTTTTCTCAAAGCGCGCATGGCTTGCAGGTTCCAGTGCTCCAAAAAGTGGGTTTGGGGTTCCGCCATCGACGGGAGCCGAGCAACTGTGCACAGTTGGGCCGCCAAAGCAGTGCAACCGCAGCTGACGAGGCATTACACGCGGTCTCTGCAAGGACATTGGGTGATTGATGCTTCTCAAACCCAATGAGACTGCACAGCCATGAGCCTAAAAGCCCGAAACCCACCCTGAAACCGCAACCGAATGCCCTAAACCCTACGCCCCAACCTTGCCACCTGAAACCCTATCCATCAACCTCCAAAGCCTGAACCCTACATCTGCAAGCCAGCATGGGACTGACAGTAGGCAGGCGGCGTGCAGGGCGGCACACTTTGCATGCAGTGGTGCATCCTTGCTTCTTCTTGTCGGCACGGGACCTGGGCAACCACAAGTCACAGGGGTATCCATAAAGTTGTATACGGTTCTTTAAAGGGGCTGGCGCGTTTTGTTGTTGCTTTGCGTGGTTTCATATGCAATAGTTTAGAGTAGAAGGCGCAGGTTATGGACCGTAGTATAGTAACTAGTGACTAAGCAAGAGCCCAAAGAGGGACCTAAACTTAAAATTGCTGAGGGTAGGTCCGAGTCGGTTTATGTTTACCTGCTGTGTTGGCGACGAAGTGAAGCATCGTGCGACACTAGATTCTAGATGTTTCAGTTGTCAAACACTAGGATACGATTACAACCTTGATGATGGCACTGCTTACATGACACACCCTAGTCTAACATCACACTTCCCTGAAGCCGCACCCGAGATAGTAAATATATATATATATGTATAGAAATATATATAGAAATATATATATATATATATATATAGAAATAAATAAAAATGCACACATACTTTTCTTTATTTATTCCATAGTACCAGCATGGACGTCCTGAGCATAACCCCACTTACCACGTCTGCCGGCGGCTCTCCGTGAGGAGAGCCGAGCCCTGAATCTTCGGCCCTGAGCTCTAACCATCCTCAACCCCGATCCCTCACACCACTTAGGGTTTAGGGTTTAGGGTTTAGGGTCCTAAGTGGTTTAGGGCCTACTTGCCTAAGTGGTTTAGGGTTTAGGGTTTAGCCTTTCGTCTACGGATTCCGTAGCTCAGGTAAGACAATTCGGATTTTAGAAGCGTTCGGAACAAGGGCATGAAAAGCCTACAGCCCGGAGCATGAGCCGCAGAACCGGGAAAGCCCCTTTCGCCTTTGACTTTGGTCCCGATCCTTCCGAACCCCAGTGCTTCCAAGCCCTTAAGGGGTCCCATGACATGAACCGTAGCGGACTGTCAGATGGAAGCACACATAATCATAACTCACATAATTGACCGTGAAGGCCTCAACACCTGAATCCTAACCTTTAAAGCTCTAAAGCTCTCATCTTAAGCCCTAGCTATACAATAGAAACCCCATATTAAGTCCCAGAACCCTCTGCTTGCCGAGTAGTGGCTTCTCCTCATCCGACAGGAAGTTGTCGTTGGAGTCGGTGGGAGTCCAACCTCCCACTGCTCTATAGTAGTGATCCCCAAAAAGTCGGAACATAAATTTCGGATGATTTGTGCTCGGATTCCTATACTTTAGTCTGAAGACATGAGGAGAATGATGCTCCAACTATCTGGTCGCGGCTTCAAGGCTTGAATGAGATTAGGGTTTAGGGCCATAGCTGCAGCGCCATCTCCGACGAGTGAATGTCGGGTGGAAGGGTGATAAAGGGATTCAGTAGAGTTTAAGGTTGAGGGTTTAGAGTTTTTCTTTAGAGAGCTGTAGAAGGGTGCGTTAAGGGATAAGACGGGTTCCAGTAAGTTTTCAGCGCGACCTCGTCATGAGAGGGCTCTAAGACACGGCGAGTTCCGCAAACAACGACTTCAAGGATTCCTAGTAAGCTTACGAGGTTTAGGGTTTAGGGTTTAGGGTTTAGGGTTTAAAGGTTTAGGGTTTAGAGCTTAGGAGGTTTAGGGTCTAGGTGTTAGGGTTGAAGAGTGCGTAGTGAGTCCTCTCGCTCGGTGCCACCCCACCAACTGAAGGCTTAGGTTCCATGATGCTTTCTGGATTTACGGCTTCTCCACGCTACAGGAATGGGCTCTGGCTAAACTATGAACAATGTGCTGCAGCTGTTGCGGCCCAGCAAGGTTTATGATTTCAAGGGCTAGGGTTTAGGAGCCACGCTAGTTTTCTTTAAAGACAACTCTGTAGCCTATCAAGGCACCTGCTTGAAACCCTAGGCCCTGTCCCCTTTGCCCTCAGACCTGATTCGAATACGCGGGTAAACATCAAACAATGAACCCGGAAACGCGTACACCCTAGAACCTAAACCCTAAGTAAAACCTCTAAACCCGGAACTCCCCATGCTCTCCAATGTGCTTCCTTTATTGATGTCTTTATTGATCAACCAGCACAAGCATGCAGCCTTTTGCTGCTGGGCACTTCCGATTGCTGTTGCATCGGTCGCATGTGGTGTACACGGTGGAAGGCTCCACACATGATCCGCAGTCGCCGCCAGTGACCGAAGCCGGCCAGCAAATCTTGGGCGGGGCTTGCTGGCTGCATGTAAGGATCCTCCGAAAGTGACAAAGGCCTCGAAAACTCCTCTGGCTCGGCTCTGAGCCATCATCTGCTGGGCGGTCAGGGTAACCCCAAGGTAAATCTGCAGATCCGCTTGCAGATCGCAGTCATCGCAATCGGATAGGCTTAAGACTTTACCTTGAAGAGCCAAGCAACCCAAAACAGATGAAGTTGTAAAGTATATAGGTATATCCTTCACTGCTTCTAGAGAGGCGAGATGCACTGCACTGCCAGCATGGTGCCACGACGGCTTCATGTTTAGGACATACATCTGCATGCTTTTCGAGTTTAAGGTTTGGAACGAGAGCTCGATCGTCAAGGTTTCAGTGCTGCAGGAGGCATCATGAGGACTTTGAAGCTTGAGTTTAAGGCTCCGTGAGAACCCATGCCTACGAAAAGCCGCTGGCTGATGGCCCATAGGGTTTGAATTTTGGAAGGCATGTCACTCTCTCTCTCTCTCTCTCTCTCTCTTTCTCTTCCCACGTTGTGGGCAGTGTGTATATATATTTTCAAACAGATACGTGATATGTATTATGTATGTACTGATGTATGTACGTCCATGGCCTGTCTTGCAGTCACCATCTGCTGCGGCCACGCGGAAGGCCTGTGAGCTTGGACTTCCTATGCGTTTCATACATGGGGCCTTTGACATATGGTTCTTGGTTATTGCTAATCGTTCAGACTCTCCGTTTCGACTCCCCAGTGCCCCAGGCAAGAACAGCGGCAGCCCAACACAACAAGACACAAAACACAAACTACTATGAAGGCCTCAACAATTGGGATTGGGGTTTTGGGGTGCTTCCTGCTACATTGCTAAATTCTTGTAAGGAATAGTCTTAGAAATTCTTCACACCCCATTTCACACCTGCAGCCTTCACGCCCTGTCAGGGTTCCCAGCCTGCCCAGAAAACGCTGAGAACCCTTGAGTCAACTGGACCATTTACCAGCCTGAATACCTATCTATCCATCCTGCAATGCTCCACTGGCTACACGCCCTGACTTTCTTCTCCAACTCGATTGAAAAAGCGAATATGTAAGTCTAATGCAGCCCAAGCATGTCAAAGCACTCCGATTGCCTATAAGCTTAAGGCAATCGTTTCGGCTTTGCTTCGTCATCTTGGCGGTATACCCTGGGCTCATGGTTGAAACCTTTTGTACCCGAAGGCCATAAATATGCAAGGCAAGGGTCTCTTAACTCCTAGGAATTGAAACTGCAGGGACCTCCGGCCCCGAATCCCCACAACCAAACCCGGATCCAATCCGAGGAATCCTTAATCAAACCCGAAAAGTCCTACCACTCGGAGGAGAATTCAATATGTGGGACGTTCAGAAAACTCAGGAACCCTGGTATGCACCGTCGATGCTTATCCTAAATACCCCCCCCCCCCACACTCCGCCACCCCAAACAAGGTGCAGAAGCACACAGAATGCCCTGGCGTAGAACCCTTATCAAATCCTCGTGGGCCCTTGAACAACATTATACAGCTACTGTCATGTGAAGAGCCCCCCCCCTCTGCTTGAGCTTGGTGCCTTCTTGTGCTTCAGAGCCGCTTGCATCTCGCTCTCTTCCTGTGCCGTCGTTACTGGTTTANNGGTTTACGGCTTAAGGTTTAGGGTTCAGAAGAAGGGGGTCGTTAGTGCCGGTTGATGTTTTGTGGCCCCTTCAAAGCAGGAGACAAGTCGCTGCCAAAACGAAGAAGGACTCTAAATCACAAGATCCTCTTCCTATAAGTCTTTACCCGAAAGTTTTTCCTCACGGAATGATTCGAAATCCCATAAAATCCCTAATCGTAAGACTGCGCCATAAATCATAAACTCTTTATCTCGAAACCATCATGAATTCAGATGTTGCAGACCCCAAACCGCGAATGGTTCTGTCAAGTGGTGGTCATATTTTATAATCACTGCTAACTTTGAGACAATGCTGCTGTCATGGCTCTAGTCGCATCGAAAGCTTTTTTGTGTTACGTACGATTACTCTCTCCTTGATTACTCCTGAAGACTATAGGAGACGCAAAACACCAACAGCAAAGCCCCCTAGCATAACCTGAAAAGAAGCCGTAAACTCCCTGAACCCTGAAGCTATCGAAGCCCACACCTTGTAATAGCAGCCCCTCAAGCCCTCGTAACGAAGCCCCTCAGCGGAAGACTTCAAAGAAAGCCTACAACCCCAGAGCCCGAAACCGCCAGCGTGCAAACCCTGAAGTCAGCGTCCTATAATTTCAGCGCGTTTCTTCCACTCTCTAGTAGTAATAATAATGATAAGGAGCCCCAAACAAGAGCATTGAGGCGGCCTTTGCAGGTGTTGGGCTCTACCTTGAACTACCAAAACCTGCTAGATCGCAAGGTCCCAAACAGGAGATTGCGGCAGGAAGTCGGTAATTTAAGCCCCTCTATTCATTTCAGCCTTATTCTCGCTGGCGGCCTCCGTCTCTTTTGCCGCCTCTCCGAAATCGCCATTGGCCGTCTGGCAGACGTCCGAAATGCAGGCCCTCGGGGATGGGATGCAAGGAAAAAAAACTGATATAAGGGGCCTGCAGTGGAGATGGGATTCTATGTGTTTTCGGGGGGTTGTTCATGTTTGCCTTGAGTTTCTTTGAGGGTTCTGTTGAGTTCTTTTTTCTAGGTACAGCCCTGGAGATGGATGGCGCTTTTGAGCTCTTCAGGGCCTGAGGGCTCCCCGGTGCTGGGGATTTTGGCTCCAGGGCTCGAGGACATTTAGTGCTTTGAAGCTCTAAGGTGCGAGGGTGTCTGGCTCTGGGGCTCAAGGGTTTATTGTTATTCTAGTGAGGCTTAAGTCATGATGACCCTGACCATCATCACTATAGTGTTCGTGCCGTCGCAAAAGACGGCACCCTCAACAACCGCACCACACCCAACACCAGCACTCTTGAACAGAAACTCTGATCGCGAACAGCCCAGAAGTTCAACCCTTCTGCCTAAACCCTAGTAAACGCCCAGCCACCCCTAAGACCTGAACCTGACATCTGCCAGAAGCCCAATCAAAGCACCTTTAAAGCAAATAACACAAAAGACGTTCGGTGTCGAATGTCAATGTTGAAACAAGACCGCATAAGTAAGACCCCCGCGGACGAGGCTCAGGCAAATCTTGAGACTTTAGGAGTTCTAGGCCCAATGCCCCAAACCCTATGGGTAGCTCTCTAAACTAGGGTCCGTTTTAAGGTGCCCACAATAGGCAAATAGTCTGGCACCCTTATGAAAGGGACCCTAAAAGGGACCCTAGTTTAGGGAACTATCCTGACCCGAAATCCGCACGAACTTCTAGATCGCCCCCCCCCCCGGCTGAGTACGCGGCACGTACGTAGCATCCTGCAGAAGATAAGCGCCGTGTGGCTATGCAGGGTTTGCAGCTTATGGCTTCGCCCTTCGGGGTTTTCAGGATCTTCGCGATATAGACCCTTCACCCTGGGGTTCATGGGCTAATGGGTGTAGTGGTTCACTGCTGTTGGGTTTGCAGGACTTTGGTCTTCGCTCTGAGAAGTGTGTCGATGTTTCGGAGGTGCTGTTTTCTGACTCTTTTGGGCTGCGGAAGGCTTGGAGCTTAGGGTTTCGGGTTTGGGTTTAGGATTGGGATAATACTGTAGGGGCCTAAATAATTACCAACGCAGTTTGGGGGGTTCCTTACAATTCTAGTAGTTACCAAGGGGCCCAAAACCCTATTCCAGTTACCAAAGGCCCCTGTATCATGTGACCTTTGAGGGCTTCCCGGGGTCTCGGTCGAGAGCTTCGTAGGCGAGGGCCTCGCCTCCACAGCCCCCGCGATTTCAGAGCGACGCCGTCTTGACCCCCAAGTTGAAGCTTAAGGAAGGTTTAGCTCTAAACCCTAACATGAACCCACCAACCCCCCAAACCAAAACCCCCAAAACATAAACCCTTAATCCTTAACTAGGCTCTGGAGTAACCCCCTGAAAAAATATATACTTATTAAGGCTAGTTGTAGTATACTAGGAACCCGGGAACCCAGAAGTAAAAGAGTATGCTGCTCGGCAGCCTAGTTACTAATCCTTGAATCCTCACCTATCGAGACAATAACCCAAACCTAGTACAGGGGCCTTAATAATTTGAATAGGGTTTTGGGGCCCCTTATACTGTAATTTTAATAAGGAGCCCCAAAATAGTATGGATAATTATTTAGGCCCCTGAAAAAGATGTTCAGGCTTTCTGGGTTGAGGGCGCGTGGGGTTTTGCTCATTCTGGAGCTTGCTCTAAACCTGACACCTTAAACCCCAAACCCGAAACCCTAAACCCTTAACTCCAATTCCGAAGCCCTAAAGCCTCAAGCCTCAAACCCAAAAACCCTAAGCCCAAAACCTGAAACCCTAAACCCTAAATCCCATGCCCGAAACCGTAAACCCTGAAGCCTTAAACCCTAAATCATAACCCCCCCGAAGCCTAAACCCTAAATCCCAACCCCCTAGGCCTGAAACCCTTAACCCAAACCCCCAAACCCCCCAAAGCCTTAAACCCTAAACCTACACCCTCTAAAGCCTTAAACCCTGAACACGAACCCCCTAAAGCCCTAAACCCTGAACCCACACCCTCAAAGGCCCTAAGCCCTAATCCCCCAAAGCCGTACACCCTAAGCCTCAACCCCCCTAAAGCCTAAACCCTAAGCCCCCCAAAAACCCCCTAAAGCCTTAACTAAATCCTAAACCCGAACCCCTAAGGCCCTAAACCCTAAGCCCTCAAAAGCCTAAACCCCATTGAGTCGAGAATTACTGAGAAGAGCCCTGAAGATCTGCATCGCTTCCGTGATCTCCTGTTGGGTCCAAACTGAAGTACCTTAAGGATTCGAGTCTAACTAGACTAGGGTTTAGGGTTTAGGGTTTAGGGTTTAGGGTTTAGGGTTTAGGGTTTAGGGTTTAGGGTTTAGGGTTTAGGGTTTTGTGCTTAAGGTTGAAGGTTTAAGGATGAAGGCTCCTGCTCTCCATGGCAAAAGCGGAATAATATAAACAAAAACCTCAACCTTAGGGTTTAGGGTTTAGGGTTTAGGGTTTAGGGATTTTATCTACGAGGGACCCAAATGCCTAATCCCCCGTGCGAAAAGCCGAACGAGACGAAGTTGTCCCGGGCACTTATCCCGAAACCAGTGAATCTACAAAGCCTCACCCTCAAGCTCTTTTAGAACCCTCAGCCACCCTTCAAGAAGTCCTATGGACCCTGAGCAAAGCCCGAAGCCCCTGAACCTGAGCCGGGAATCGGAGTCACCCCTTTCTGCTCGGCGACCTGCCACGGTGTAGGGCTTCGGGCTTTGCAGGGTTGAGGTAGGGTGTGGTGCTGATTTCTGGGACGGCCAGTGGAGGTTTGGGAAATTTGGGGTGTCGGATGATGTAGCGGTCAGGTCGACACCCATTTGGGTGGTTGTCAAAATTATGGTCCCTTTTTGGGTCCTTATTATAATACGGCACCTATTATGTAGGGTACCCCAAAAGGGACCATAATTTTGACAACCACCTATTTGGTTTGGGATTTGGGGCTTTGGAGGTTTGGGCTGTGCGGGTTTTGGGGATCAGGTCAGAGTTGAAGGCTTGAAGGCATTGCTTTAGGGTTTGGAGGGGCAGAAGATGTCCGGTCTGCAGGTGGGCTGAATTTCCATAATCCCTAAACCCTCAACCCTATAAAACCCTGCAATCCTAAACCCTACACCCTAAACCCTATAAAACCCTGCAATCCTAAACCCTAAACCCGAAACCCTAAACCCTAAACCCTAAACCCTAAACCCTAACAACTAGCTATAGGGGCCTTAGGGCTGCATAGGGGCATTGAAGGCTTTCCGGGCACCAAAAGGGGGCTTTAGGGCTGCATGGTCGCTACGAGGGCGTCGGGTTGCAGTCTTCTGCTTCCGATCTCTACTGGCACCAAACCCTAAAACCTAAGCTTTAGGGGTTAGGGTTTAGGGTTTAGGGTTTAGGGTTTAGGGTTTAGGGTTTAGGGTTTAGGGTTTAGGGTTTAGGGTGCCCCTAAACACCTAAAACCCCGAACCCTAAACCCTACACCTTAAAAAAACCCTAAACACCCCCAAAACCCTAGACCTTGTTGGGTCTTCTGGGTCGAGGCTACTCCGGCTTCGTATCAAGCACCCCAGGCGCCGAGGCAAAACTGCAGCCTTAGGGTTAGGGCTTTAGGGTTTAAGGTTTAGGGTTTGGGGTTTAGGGTTTAGGGTGCTAAAGGTTTTGGGGTGTTTAGGGTTTAGGGTGCTTAGGGTTTAGGGTTTAGGGTGTTTTGGGTGTTTATGGTTTAGAGTGTTTAGGGTGAAACAATGTTTTAGGCTTTAGGGGCGTTTAGGGTTTAGGGTGTTTAGGGTGTTTATGGTTTAGGGTTTAGGGTGTGGGGTGTTTGGGGGTTAAGGGTTCAGGGTGTTGAGGGTTTAGGGTTTAGCGTGTTTAGGGTTTAGGGTTTAGGGCTTGGGGAAGTCGGGGAAGGTGTGAATCCGAAAGGGCTTAATGTGGCGGCCCGTGTAATTTAATAGCCCCCCCTCCCCTTTCCAGACGGTCGGATTAATATGTTACACGTGACCCCCCCTCGACCCGGGTTCGGTAGATTAGGCCTTGGGTTGGCTTGGGTTTTGGGTGGCTGTGACTACTTTAGAAGGCTCTAGGGGGGTCTCAGAGAGTTGGGGGCTGGCTAGGGGTCTGGGTGGCTTAAGTAGAAGGGTTTAGGAGGGTTCGGCAGGTTTCGGCTTAAGTAGAAGGGTTTTAGGGGGTTTAGGGTTCCGATGGAACGGGGCTTTCGGGTTTAGGGAGAGCTCCGTGTTTCAGGGCCGGGATTTGAGGGTTTGGAGGGGGGCTTTATGTCGTGGGTGCTTTAAGATTGATCATAAGGAGAAACGAAGCAACACAACAAAAACATCCGCCGGACAAACAAACATGCATTGTAGAGGACACCCCAAATTTTAGGTAGCGGCTTCACTAAGCTCGGCCCAAAACTCAATTATAGAGGCCCACTCGCCTAAAGGGCCACATTAGGATTTAAGGTTCAGGGTTTAGGGTGTTGATCCAATTGGCATTACCGGTTCATTTCAGTGGACACTAGGCGGTCAGGTTTGTACAATCCCTCCAGTTACAACCCCAAGTCAGGCAACAGGCTAGATGCAGCTCAGAATTTGAAGAACTCCGAGTAAGGACCGTCTAGATCACACTTGTACGATTTAGGATGAACGGTTCATTGTGTAGGATTCAGGGAACCCTAAACCCTAAACCCTAGACCCTAAACCCTAAACCCTAAACCCTCAACGATTTAGGATTAAGGAACCATTGTGTAGGATTCAGGGATTTCGAGCATGACAGCCCGTAGCATAGACATCTGCAGACCCTGAGCCCAGGGTTTAGGGTTAAGGGTTGAGGGTTTAGGGTTCAGGGTTTAGGGTTTAGGGTTTAGGGGCCCCCACTTCAATGCATGTAGACAGCGGATGTGTGCTGGATGGGCAACCTTATATATATATATATATATATATGGTCACCCCCCATGATCTGCCGCCGTCTTTCTTCCATATGTAAAACATATATATATATATATGTGTATACATACAATTGCACCCCAACAGACTAAACTTTAACTGCCAGAGCGTAAGCTCCAAGTCGTGGGGTGATTACTACAAAACCTTGAGGCTCAACATGGCCCAAACGCCTTGAATGGTATGCAGAGGTCCAAAACCCTCAACGCATGGATGCTTGCAGCCTTGCGGCCCTGCACCTAAGCCCAAAATCCCTGAGGAACCCCTACGTCCTCCTCAGCCCTAAAGCCTTGAAGCCACGAAGCCTTAAAGCTCTGAAGCCCTAGGGTTTAGGGTTTAGGGTTTTGGGTTTAGGGTTTAGGGTTTAGGGTTTAGGGTTTAGGGTTTAGGGTTTAGGGAAGACCGTGAGGCCCTAAACTGCGGAAAGGAACCCGGCAGTTGCCTAAACCCTGCAAACCCCACCCCTACACCCCTAAACCCTGAACCCTGAACCCTAAACCCTATAAACCCTATAAGCCCTGAACCCCAAACCCTAAAACCCTAAACCCTAAACCCTAACCCAAAACCCCCAAACCCTAAACCCTAACCCTAAACCCTAAACCCTAAACCCCTCAAGACCTAAACCCTCAGCCCTAAACCCCAAACAAGCTTTTGGAAAGAGGAAGAGCTCCGGAGGCTACTCGAAGCCAAGGACGGGGGTGGGGCTTAGGGCTTAGGGTACTACAGGGTTCAGGAGTTCGGGTAGCTCGAGTAATTGGGATTAAGGTCTTAGGGTATAGGGTTTTGTGGCATTTTCGTTTCTTTGTGAAGTAGTTCAGTGGGGGGAAGCTTAAGGGTTTTATTGTTTCAGGGTTTGGTGTATGAGTGTCCTCTAAGGATGTTGCAAGGCCCCAAAAATATTGCAAGGCTACATCATTATTTATCCAAGCAACCAAGCAAGCAAGCAACCAACCAACCACCCAACCGCCCAACCACCCAACCACCCAACCATCCAACCATCCAACCACCCAGCCAACCAAGTAACCAACCACCAACCAACCCACCCACCCACCCACCCACCCACCCACCCAAGCAAGCAAGCAAGCAAGCAAGCAAGCAAGCAAGCAAGCAAGCAAGCAAGCAAGCAAGCAAGCAAGCAACCAACCAAGCAACCAAGCAACCAAGCAACCAAGCAACCAAGCAACCAAGCAAGCAAGCAAGCAAGCAAGCAAGCAAGCAAGCAAGCAAGCAAGCAAGCAAGCAAGCAAGCAAGCAAGCAACCAACCAACCAACCAACCAACCAACCAACCAACCAACCAACCAACCAACCA